GCTGTGCATTATCCCAATTGAGCGATTCTTCAGCATTGAGATGTTTGTCCAATCCCAGTCGCACTGTTGGGGGAGACAGGGACAGGGGGTGGGGGGGGGGTTTAGCTGTGATGTTCCGTCAGCAGGAGGTGTCACTGCTGGGGGGGGTGTTGATCTGGACCGCTTCCGGCACTGTGAATATTCAGAGCCTCTTCACGCCGAGCCGGTCGCTCACTTAAAACCCGGCAGTGTGAGCTCTCCCGCTGTCGCAGGCTCTTCTGTGAAACATTTGCCATCGAGTGGGCTGTGCGCAGTAATCGATGTTATCTTAAAGCAAACTCGAAAGAGAGCGTTTCCCATTCTGAGTACCGTGTGTGTGTGTGTATGTACGTGCGTGGGCCTGGCGCGCGCACGCGACGTGCGTTCCTTGCTGGCGGCGGCGATGGCTTTATCACTTATTTCTTTCAGCTGCCGCCTGGGTAGACCGCGCGGCTCGGTTTATCTTGATTCACGGCTCGTAGTGACGGCGAGATGGATATCCGCTTGGACGTTCCGCTTGCATGCCGCTGTACCTGCAGTTCGTGGTGCTAACGCCGCGTGAGTTTTTGCTTCTGGGCGATCTGTAAGTACCGGTGCCTTGCGCTTGTAACTGTCGCAAGCGGCCGTGCCGTCCTTTACCCGCCACTTTTTATTCAGCATTCTGAACATGATTGCGTTCGTTTACTCAGGGAAAGCCTCACAGAGTCTCAAGACTCTTTTTCACGAGGTTCCTGCCAAGTTTTCGCGGGTGAGGAATTTGCAGGTAAATTTTCAGTATTGGGATGTTTGGTCAATGGCAATCACATTGAATGTGTTTTTTTTGTTTGTTTAGCTATGGGAGGAAACCAGAGAACCCAGATGAAACCCATGCAGGACAGGGGCAGAACTTACAACCTCCACACGGAAAGGTGCCGGAGTTGAAAGTTGTCGAACCCAGGCAAGATGTTATCTGCCTTGCCTGGTATACAGGAGGTAGTGGGTTCGATCTCGACTGTGACACCTGTATATTTGGGGTTTGCACGTTCTCCCCGTGGTTGCGTGGATTTTTCTACAGGTCCTCCGGTTTTTCCCCCCACATTTAGAAACACGCGTTTCGAGTATTTGGCTGCAATACATTTCCACGTGATAAGCCGCTTCCTTGTGCTATCATTTGTGGCCAGGTCGCTTCTGAAAAAGACCTATATAGCTCAGTGGACCTTACCTGGTAAATAAACATATTTTATATAGTTTTTATTAATAGTTTAATGACGTCTCCCACCATTTAGAGAGTGTTAGAGCCCTTAAACAACATCTGCCATACAGGACAGTATCCAACCGGGTGACTCGAGAAAACGCTTGCCAGTTCACACCCTGGTTAGAGAGCTGATGAAGCACATAATTCTTCCAAGGTTTATAAAACCAGCACCGCTTTGTGGGGTAGTCAAGAGTGATTGTCTTGTGCATGGGCTAATTTCCACCATCGGAATCTGGGATTTCCACCACTGACACTCCAGGGCTGTAAACAGGAGATAAGCAATGAGGCAATGCTCATTTCAGTAAAAATCACCTTGATGTCGTAATACATTGATTCCTTTATTTTACCATCTAGAAACCTAGCGCACACCCTCTCCTCACTATGATGTGAGTTCTTGCCGGTTTTGGCTTCTCATCAACAATACTCCCTATATTTCCATCGGGTCTGGCTTTCAAGCAAGTCACCAGATTTTCCGAAGTCTTGTTCCTGTTGCGCATGAGAAGCAGACCGTGCGGTGTAGAAAGCGGCCACGCTGCACATGAAAAATATTTCCTTCCAGATCTGATGCCCGATCCCAGCCTCGTGGGCGTCAACGAGAACCCACCGAGAGCCTCCGAATGGCATCGCCAACTCGCGGCTAACCGAGTAACGGTGAAAAGGGTCGAGTGCGAGGGAGCGGGATCAGGTGCGCAAACGCATCCAAAAGGACGTCCACCGAGGCGACGCGATGACTCCGCCCGTCATCTTCTCCGGGGTCAATGAAACGAGGGCCGCTTTGATGGGAAGCTGAGAGCGGTTGTCCTATGAACAGACTCTTGCCACTGCCATGTGAAGTTTTCCACCACGGGCTCAGGGCTCTGAACAAGAAAGCAGCACTGCCTCGGTGCTTATTATTATTATTATTTAATGCCGGATTTTACTGAGTGTTTTACATTGCTTTCGAGTCCTTCTGTGATCACGATCTTCTCGTTTAACTACGGTTTCATTCGTGAAACGCATCTACACTGCGGCATAATTTTTCTTTGCAGATTATAAATTAGCATAACTTCTCTGGGTGATAAATTACCAAGAGCTTCTCTGGCTGTAGCTAATACATTTCATAGGTTGAGTGTGCACTTTATAAAATAAATAATTTTACGTTACTTTTAAATACGGTACATCTACACGGTTGTATTTTTTTCATGGCCATGAATGATCACGTTAGCCATTCGTATATTCTCGTACATTCTTTACATTTGTACCAAAGGGGTCTTCTTTGTGTGTTTGCCCAGAGGTCAGCGACTCCCGCGTGCGGGGTTTAAATGTCTCTATTGACTGTGGCAGGCCGCGCTGCGTTCCGCCCGCGAGCACGGTGTGCTGCCAAATGCACTTATATATGCACCCTTCTCAGCGCACATGCTTTTGCGACCAAGTGTGTTTGGAGAGGGGCCATCCCCCCCCTCCCCCCTGCGGTGGCTCAAAACGTCGGCTGCTGGGCTCTGTAAGCCATGACGCGCGCCCACAGCAAGGAGGGGGTATTTATTATTCATTATTATTATTATTAAACATTATAATTACTATTCTGCTTGTTACCCAGGGAAACCTCACCGAGTCCCAAGACTTTGTTTTTATTGAGGCAATGCGTGGACCCCCAGTACATCACGTTGTGACGCACGTACACACCCTCAACATAAACTAATCCGGTTATAAAAAGCAGGGGATAGAAAGATGGGGAACGAACCCACTGCTGCCCCAAACCAGACGGGTCCCCACCGAAAGGGGCGCAGGGGGTAGTTTTTTAAGTAAGGGCGGGGGGGGGGGATGACGAGGGGAGGGATGTAACCCAAACGCACCTGAAATAAATAAAAGAATGTTTTAAGAGTCTGGCTCCCGTCTCAACCATAGGGGTTGTTCTATCCCTTATCCTCGGTGCCTGTCTCCCGACCGTCCGAGGAAGGTCCTGCCAAGATTTTGCAGTAGGGGATGATCTTTCTGCTGTCTGTGTGTCGGGAGTGTTACCACCAGGCCACCGTGCTGCCCATTGTATTGTAGTGTTCCCTCTTGTCCTTTGACGACGGGATTCCTCTCATGGCCGTGATCGCTTTCTCAAGACCGGCTCTCCTCCGCTTTCAACTCCGGGGCAGAGCCGTCGCTCATTTCACGTTCAGTGCATGAGCCACCAAGAGATTCCCTGGACTTGTGCATTGTTACACAGTGACATTTGTTTCCCTCCGTGTACTAAATGTACAAAAAAGTGTTAGAAAAAAAAAAACCTCTTTATTATTGTGTTACGTTTTTTGTTGTTTCACTTTAAACGTACATCGGTGGAATGTAGTTTCTACTTTCGTTATTTTTCATGCGTCGTTATACAGCCCGTGTTTATTGTATTGCCTTTAATCCACCAAGACTTGATTGTGAGAAATTTAAGTTGTCCATTAACTTTGACCCATAAATTGGCGGCGATATGAGAGTGCCTCATTTACACTGCCTTGTTACTAATGTGCAACTATCTGCTTTAAACAGTGGGGGGAATTGCTCGTGTTTTATGAGTCTAGGGTCTACAGTTGGAGGTTGTAAATACTTTATTTGCTGCTGCGAGATAAGATAGCGTGAGACATAATGTGAAAACGTCGATACCTCCAAGGCAATGGCGCTGCAGCAATTCCCCGACACAAGCTCTCACGCAGATGCTTTAAATACTCAACACGGGTGACGCGGCCCAGCAGTAGCGTTCCCCAATTAATGGCAGCGGTTTGCTGCTCATAACCAGACGATACGTGCAACTTTAATTAGCAGCAGAAGTTTAAATATGTTGGTTTTTTTCTCACGCAAACCGCATCGTTGTCGGCACCACAGCGGCTACTGTGGTGCCGGCAACGAATGCAGTCTCTGTGCGAACTCGCGATCAGCTGGTCCCAAACGAGGCGGTGCCCAAAGGCCACTGCCACCCCACGACCCGCCACATAAACACACTGGCACAATGCACGACAGTGAAAGGCACTTCCTCAGATCCTTCCTAAGGGGAGCGATATCTTGAAATGGAAAAGTCCTGCTGGGATTTTCATAATTACCTCGGATGTCTGGCGTCATCGTGGTGGCCTAATTATCGACCTGTTTCAAGTTCATTTTGTGTAGCCAGGTGAGAACTCGAGAGACGAGGATAGAGTCTCATTTACATGGGTTGACCGTGGTCACGAAAATTACAAACAAAACCAAAGTACAGAGAATGAAGCAACTACAAGGTCTGCTCAAGGAGCAAACCATCGGTGGCACTGTTGACCTCGCTTGCCACGCGCCACGGTCAGGTGATGCACCAACCCCGCAAGCGAAGGCCGTGAGGGCCGCGCGGGGTAGCCGTGCGCCCAAGCTAAGCATCTGAAACTCGGTCAGCCGGGGTCCTCCCGCCTACAAGCGGACAGTCCACCACAGCTCTCGATTGGTTTCGGAAGCAGAGTTCGGACAAATTACTGAACCCGCAAGCGCCTTGCAATCTTTGGAACAGCGGTGCAATATAAATGTGGTTTATTATTCAAATCTAAATCGGAGCAAAAGCAATCACATTGAGGTTGAAGCAGAAGCGTTTCACAGTAGGACCAGTGGACGTGAGTGCTGTATGTATGTTGAACTTTTTACACACCGCACGTCGCCAACCGTACTAATCGGAGGTGCAGGGGGGTGCTGTGTGTTGGGTGGTGGTGGGCGTTGGGTGCTGGGCAGTGGGGCGCTGGGCGGTGGGCGACCGTGTCATGAGCGTTTGTCGTTGCTGCAGGTGAAGGCACTCGCAGAGTCGTGCGAGAGGAACGGTGCAGACGAGGCGCTCAGAGGGGATGGCAAGGACGTGCAGCGCAGCTCGTCGCAGGACCGGCAGAGCGACGTAAGTCGTGGACCCGGCGTGCTGCTGGCACCGCGCGCTGCATTCGCTCCGCACGTGGCTTTCTCTGTTTTATTGACCGACCCAGTGGCTCAGCGGTGGAGTGGGCGGCTCGCAAAAAAAAGTTGGTTAGTTTTAAATTCTGGTTGGGGGGGTGGCTCAGCCCATCATCCCTCCAAGGACAATAAAATAGGTACCACTTTGTGACGAAGTCAACAGTGGTTTTCCTACGGAGAGACTCACTCCCGGAAAAAAAATCTAATGTCCACCACTGGCTCAGAGCTGCAATAGGAGGTGAGCACCACCTCAATACTCAATTGTGCAGTAAATCCACTTGTCTTGATTTTTTTTCAACAATATTTTGTGTGTGGTTAAATCCACTGCTAGATTGTTATTAGATCCAGTAATTTCACAGTGATGTTTCCAGGGTTATTTTTAGTCGGTGGTGAAACTTGCGAAGATTTGTGTTGACATCTCCATAAACACTGCGTGGAGGCCAGGGGCCTGTTGAGCTCTTGGCTTCTGAATCCCCCACGTGTTCTCTTTCATTACAGGGCTTCGGTTTTTCCTGCTAAGCCCAAATCTTTTCCACCAAATCTTCAGACCTCTCCCACAACCATACTGCCGCCCGCTGACACGACTGCACGCGCCTGCCCTCCTTCGTAGGGATCGCTGAAGCCCTTGGCCTTTGTTGTTTGTAACCCACAGCCACGGGGGCATGCGTGGCACTGCCACGGCCATTCGCAGCATTATGTTGGTCAGTGCTCTAATTATGGTGTTCGATACCTTGCGCTCCGCTCTATGTTAGTGGTTCCCAGCAACTGGACCCATGGATCCCCGTGCGCCAATGATATTTTCCAAAGTAAAAGCTAATCCAAGTAACCGACTTAAAATCTTAATTAAAAAGCCAGGAAACCAGTGAGTTGTCAAAAATATCTTTATCACTGCGCAATGTTCAGGAATGAAATTGCAGTCTTTTGTGAAACAAAAGAGTATTTCTGTTTGCAGTAGTTCCGCGGAGAGCTTACAAACGGCCTTGCAGAGCACTGGTTGAGAACTCCCGCTCTGCTCGTTGTATCTGTACTTGTGCACATGCCTGCGGGTGTATGGTATAAATTATATCCTGAGTGTTGTAGCAAAGGGGGAATATAGGAAGCCATACAGTGTGAAGCCTGTGTGAATGTTCTTATTAACTTTAATGCATGAGAGGTGGCTCAGTGGTAGAGCTCACAAACGGGAGGCTGTGAGTTCCAACCCCGCAAGGAATGCTGATGGGCATTAATATACTCATACTTGCAAACATAAGAATGAGATGAGCTCATATTTGACAAGAATATGATCGAGTGTCAGAGCTGCTACCTTTTCTCACAGCCCAGACCGATCCAAACTGTGCAGTTCACTCCAATAAAATTCAGCTCAGTACAGCTGCCAGATCTGGGTGCAAATCAATTCCTGCTGCCGCCCGAACGCAAGTTCCCCCAGCTGTCCGGGTCAAACCCGGGCAGGTGGCGACCGTAGTTGGGAAAGGGGGTGTCGCGGTTGCGTTCAGTTTGTCACGCCGCGCTGTGTGGCGGAGAGGGAGGAGACCAAGCGTGCGCACGGCACCCGCTGCACGGCATTGCCACCTTGTGGCAGCGCTGCGCCCGGGACACAGCCACGCTTGCGAGCAAAAGCGGTGTTTCGTAAAGCACGTGTTTTCATGTTGCATACCGGTGTGGGTTTTGTCGCCAAGACGTGATGCCGATGTTCTCCGCGTGAATTCTACATTCTCCTGCACCAGTATTGTCGCCGCACGCTCTGTCCCACAGGTTGAGATTGTCGTCCGAAAGGGGAAGCGAATGCTTTTCTCCGTGATATTACAATGTGTACAGACCCGAATTATCATGTGCACCGTTTTAACAACGAATAATTTCGCACATTTGGTATTCATGCCGTTTCTATAGCCCAGGCTATCACGAAGGCAACGTGCGTCACATGCATGGTCGGCACTAGTTACACAGTAGGGGGCGATGTTGCTGCTGTGTATCTCAATTGAGTGATTTGTGGGTAAATTTGGTAAATATGGACCATGTGACACCTGCAGAAAATAGCTTACTACTTTTGAATGACATCACCGGATCTTTTAACGTCTACTGCGAAGCAGATGAAGCAGGCAGTGCATATTTTGCAGTTAACAGACCCGCAGTGATAACCAGGGCGGCCTGCCTATGTGGAACCATGAACCTATGCAGCAAACGGCGAACACACATTACTGCAGTTTGGGCAGCACCAGGAACCCTAGTGCACGCATTGTGCCCTAAACTCAACGGCAATGCTGTGCTGCTTCACGTGTTATTCGTCTGTTCTTGTACGTTATTTCAATTCGCTTTTTTTCCCTCATTCAGATAATGTCTTCTGATGTGCTTCCTCCATCACAGCTGGAATGGGTTTAGGCGAAGGGGCAGCTCACATCTCCACGTTTCTGCAATTAGCCTCCTCTCGCAGAGGCTTTAATGAGCGCGCACATTGTTAGCCACGCCGATCCGAGGCCGTTTCGTGGTGTGATATTTAATTACCGCAAACGCGTTATTCATTGCCGTGAAGTGCCACTCACTATATGCGGCACGTTTGACCGTGAGGGTTCGGTGGCAAGAGTGGGTTACAAATATGAACGTCATCTCTCACGTTTGAACCTTCTATTACACCCGCATTGATATCGTCTTGGTCAGGTTTTTTAACACCAGACGTTTCATTATTCCAATATCATCTGTTGTTGTTGATGTTTGGCCAAAACACCAGTGACATTAGTAATATTATTATTATTTAAACACAGTGGCTGACCACTGGGTCAGACGTCCAAAATGTGAAGTGGCCTGTAACAAACAGCACTATGAAGCTGTAATGGATAATAATTTCCTGTGCGAGCTTGGGAAAAGAGATGATGGGTGGAGCAGTGTAAGGGAAGAAGCAGAAAGAGAAGTCGGTTTAACACGGAGGCTTTTGCGACCAATATGATCCATAATAGAGGTTTTTTGGGGGTTAAATCACGTAAATACAAATGTGCCGTTAAACCTCACCACCACCTGACAGCCAATTAGTGAGGTTTGTCACGTAAACAAAACGTGCCAATTACCCTAGTTACTATTTTAGCACACCAGTGTGTTGAAGAGTAAACCCACGACATTTACAATTCGAATGTGACGTTTCGCTGGTGATTAAAGGGAAGAGTTTGTGACATGCAGTATGGTGAGTGATGGGGTGAGTGATGGGGTGAGTGATTGGGTGAGTGGGTGAGTTGTTGTGACCTGCAGTGCAGTGGTTAAACGCTGTGCATGAGACAAAACAACCTGGTAGGCCGAGTGGAAGAATCGATGAACAATCGCGGTTTAAACTATGGGTGGAAACCAGAGAACCCAGAGGAAACTCGAGTCAGGAATCGAACCTAGATCCTTCCCGCTGTGAGGCACGAATGTCACAAAGAGAGCGGCCCTCGAAGGCGCACGCGTGGGGTTCACGGTCGGGAGTGAGCCCCGTGGCCCGTAGGCCCCTGGAGGACCCCGCTACCCAGGGTGGCACGCACGGAGAAGCAAGGCTCACTAGCCGGGCGCCAGTGGCCGTGCTGCACGTGGCCTGGACCGCAGTGCTGGGGAGGCAGCAGAGGGTCGGTGGATCGCACTCGCTCGTGGAACGCCCTCCCCCTACCCCTGGGCATTCAGTTCGCCATTTCCTGGCTTGCCATGGTGTGATTGCAGTACAGCAAGTGGGTTCATTTCCATATGCACGACGATTGAGCGTTGCCCCCGTCTCACACGTGGGCCAGGTAGCCCATTTCATCCCACCAATTATAAACACTCGCTTATGGAGTTGGCCAAATCACATCCCAGTGAAGGAGCTTGGGCGATCGTTGACGTCGACTGTTTCTGCCTTCCGGCCTGTCTACGGTTTCCCACGTATCAAAATTCTGCAGGGCACTGATCTACAATCGACAGGAAAAAAAAGTTTAAAAAATGTAAAACGTATTATTAATGCAAATTTAGCTGCCGGCTTATACCGGTTTTCCCAAGCTTCACGTTTGTATCTCGATGGAAGAAAATAACTCGCTGGCAGTGTGAACAGTGACGTGACGCACTCGGAGCTGGCAGTGGGAGCACTGAATGCTTGCGCAGTCCGCCGGGGACGCCGATGAAAGACACGTGCAGCCTTGAACCTGCATTACAGCACTCTCGGTCCGTGTGGGATGTAATGAACAGACCCTGCAGGAAATTGAAAGGGCCCTTTCCGATTCCAATTTAATGCAGCCTTTGTGTAATAGCCCCAGAGCAGGAAATGCATCGCCGTGCCCGTGTCCCCGAAGCTCAAGGCAGCTATTACGCCTGCCTCGTTCTCCCGCTGCTTGGCTCTCAGCCGGGGGTTAATGTCGGTCCTCGCAGCTTCCTCTTTGGTAGTGCAGCCCTCTTAAACGCGAGGAGGTGGAGAATAGCAGCCCTCTTAAACGCGAGGAGGTGGAGAATAGCAGCCCTCTTGAACGCGAGGAGGTGGAGAATAGCAGCCCTCTTAAACGCGAGGAGGTGGAGAATAGCAGCCCTCTTAAACGCGAGGAGGTGGAGAATAGCAGCCCTCTTGAACGCGAGGAGGTGGAGAATAGCAGCCCTCTTAAACGCGAGGAGGTGGAGAATAGCAGCCCTCTTAAACGCGAGGAGGTGGAGAATAGCAGCCCTCTTGAACGCGAGGAGGTGGAGAATAGCAGCCCTCTTGAACGCGAGGAGGTGGAGAATAGCAGCCCTCTTGAACGCGAGGAGGTGGAGAATAGCAGCCCTCTTGAACGCGAGGAGGTGGAGAATAGCAGCCCTCTTGAACGCGAGGAGGTGGAGAATAGCAGCCCTCTTGAACGCGAGGAGGTGGAGAATAGCAGCCCTCTTGAACGCGAGGAGGTGGAGAATAGTGGCTCGGCAGCTGTGACGAGGTCGTCACCAGGGGCAGTTGCTGGCGCTGAGGCCACGGGGTTCATGCGAGCGCTCTGAACCCCGCTGCGAAGGATCGGTGCAGAGACCGTCACAGTGAGCAGTGACGTGGTACTCCTCTCCTACAGCCCTGATGAGCAAAATCCAGTGGTGGGGATTACGCGTTCCTACGGTAGGGGCGAGTATCTCCATAGGACAACCACTGTTAACTTCCCACAAAGTGGTGCTCACTTTACCGACCCAGAAGGATGATGGGCTCGGGAAAACCGCAGACCGATAGCGAGCTCCTCGCTCCGCCGTGGAGCCACCCGGCCGCTCGAGACGAACATCAATACAGCGCCCTGTTGCAATTCTCGTGGTGCGACATTAATTGAAAGGATTAAGTGATGTATTTGCTCAATGTTGAATGGAAATAAGCAAAAGATTATAATTGCAAATACACTGCGTAATAATAATAATAAGAGGCAATCCTTTAAACTGGTTATGCAAATGTAAACCAATGAAGCCTCGAACAAATTTTATTTGCCGATGTAAAAATGTTGGCAGATTAAAAGAATCCCCTCCCGTACAAAAAGAAAACAGCGAGCACACACTTTCCCGTCAGGCAGCACGCGTTGCTCACTGTTGATGGTCGTGCAAACCCCGCACGCGTCACCGCGCACACACCCTGGTGGATGCCAGGGTTCAGTGATTGGCCTTGAATGCGCTAATGGTAGAGGTTTCGCTTGGTAGGATGTCTGCAATATACAGGGTGTTTCAAAAAGATGGACCCGATTTGAAATCGCTATATCTTTGAGATTGTGTCCATAGTCTAGCGGTGAAATGCAGCAGAGCATTCAAGCGGGTATTTTGTTTCACCGGATGAGATCTTACGAAACGAGGAGAGTTTCATTTGCAAGTGTGGCTGACGTGGGTTATCAAAAATTATTTTAAAAAACAATTGAATAAAGTATGACGATAATGAAGCAAAATAAGTCCGTGCAAAAAACAACCAAATAGAAATGGGAGCAGAAGACCACCAAATTGAAATCAGAACACATCTCCGATTTATAACCCCGAGCAAGTGACCTCCCAACAAAATAATTTATATTTTACCGACCATGGAAACGATGATGGGCTGAGTTAACCCCCAACCAGGATTGTGAACTCGCAACCTTCCAATTGGGAGCTGCTCGCTCTACCGCTGACCCACCACGCCCGCCATGGGGGTCCTGCGTTATTCCACTCCTGCGCTGGCACGTGTGTTTTAAAATGTCTCTGTGTATCTTTTCAGATCTCCACACATTCGGGCTCTGGAAGAGGCTACATCGTGAGTACCTCGTTTACACGATTGCTTTGTTGTTGCCTTAATTGAATGTTTTACTTGCGGAGTGAATAATAATAATAATCACAATGACAAAGTTGGCCATCGGTGTTGCTAATTTGCTTTGCCTGGGAACGAGGCCACAGCCACGCGGAACGAACGGCAGGTGGCAGCATTGTCACATTTTCAAGAAGCTGAGAAAATCCACCCGGTGTTGTTTGAATCCAAATCTCTACACCCAGCGGGGGGGCGGGGGGGGGACCGCCGCCGCTGCGTTTCTCTGAACTAACGTTAAAGAGTCGTGCAATAAATCCTGCAAATCTGCAACTTGAATTAAAAGGTTCTCTCCTAATGCCACAGATCCCTTCCTAAGCCATTGCCAATGGCACCGGCTCATAACCAAACACTAACACTTGAACTCGACCCACAATTGATTTGTAAAATTTGAACAGAAATCTTCATGTAGGCAGCTGTACGCACCCTGGCGCATTCATCTCTTACATTTTTGCACGTGATGCTTCAAATTTGTATTTTGCAGTTGTATGTGAGTTAAATTTATATATTCATATATGCAAACGCTGTAGCAATATCTGTGAATACAAAAACAAAGACCCCCTTTGCAGCCTATTCAGGCTGTTGGGGCAAGTGCCGTTTGCGAGAACCTATGAATGGCAACATACTACGCCTGGCTGCATTTGTCTCCCCGATGTGTAAACATCTGTGCATACTCACACTTTACCCACCACGCTGTGTTTGGTAAGTACACTTGAAATGCTGTGCAACAGAGTACACCAAGATTTAAAATATCCTTACACAAATGTAAAAAAATGTACGTTTTATTTGAAGACGCGGCTAGCACATTGTAATTGTGTGACTTCGATATTCACTGCGTTCAAAGTATGGCAGTTGTTTTAAAACTTACTTTGCCGCTTAAAAGTGTGAACAAAATGTTAATTTTTTGACATCCCAAAGCAGTGTTTTTTTTTCGTTGGTGTTAACGGAGCGGAGTATAACGGTAATTGGTGTGCGCTGGTTAAATACTTAATTATGCGTTAATTGCACAACTGACAAACCATGTAATGACAAGGGACATTATTTTTAAGAACTTAACAGAGGCATAGAGGGGTCAGCTCATGGACGAGGTGGGAGGAGTAGATTTAGCAAAGAAGCGGTTCGTTTGCTGTATTATTTATTGAGTCGCACCAAGTCAGAATGTTGGCTGTGTGAGTGATATGGTATTTAGTTGCTTCATGCAGCATTGTCTCTACTTAGCTCCTGCAGCAGCAGCAGCAGCAACAGCAGCACCAACAGCACTCACTGTGCGCTAACAGGACAAGGCGCTGCCCCGCAGTTGGCTCGCTTGCTCGCGCCATTTCCGGCAGAAGGGCCTCCAATAGAAGGAGGACCTCGAGCGTTTTTGGCCTACTTTTCCACGCTGACCAGACGTCTAGGTTCAACGCATGAAAAGCTCCGGATCAGTTCCGAACATTCAGTGTCTCATTGGCAGAGTCAAGCTTTGCTTGAAACAATGCTGGTGAACTGCCAGATGTTTATAGGTATGGGGCCCTCTGTTGGACATGGGTTCTAGTTCGATGCAAAACTAGAAATGACAATTTTGTGTTAGAGGGCAATAAAAAGCGCCTGATGGCATTGAAAAATTCTAGCTGGAGTTAAGTGAGCCACAAGGAAATTGGTAGGACTTCTGTTGGGGAAATATCAGCATACCGTACCCTGCGGAGATAATGAGGGGCCTTAACTTCAGAGTTGTTAGGCTATGCCTGCCTTAAGCGGAATGGTATTTTAAACCCCATCTCACATTTTTTTTATTCTGGGTAGCAATGGCCCAAAGGCTTACGAGTAGATTTTTCTCCATATACTTTGTTGGAATAATTTATAGCACGATAAACAAACAAAAATAAGCAATCACTTGCTTTCCACTTTTAAAAAACCCAACAAACCCCAACGTGCTGACAAGCCCATGGGCAAGTTGGCAGGATGATTGTGGACACATTCCTGCCACTTATCAGCTGCAGAGCTGTGGTAATTCCAAAGGAATTCCATTAATTGCTGCAAGATGCGTGGGAAAAGCAACATGTGCTGTGTGTGGGGCCATATTCCAGCTGTGGCCTTTGACAGGCCCTCTCCGACCAGTGAGCAGCGCCCATCGAGAGATAGCACGTTATCTCGCGTACACAGAGCGAGCCCTTTGCCTTACAAGCTGGCTGGCTCTGTCGCGCTGCGCCCCCCAGATAAGGAGCACTCTTTCAAAAGAAGTCTCCGTCAACAAATACTACGTGGTGCTCAAGGCCACCGAGACATCCTGATTCGCTTCTCGTTCTGATGTGCAGGGCCTGTGTGTTTAAATGTGTTAACTCAGTTGTGCTTTTGCTTTATTAGTGTGATTATTGCTCTTATAATTGGATGGTAATGTACACCTGTGCCCTCCAGCAAGAAAGCCCTGGGTTTAATTCCCTGCTTGGGTGACGGTCTGTTTGGAGTTTGCATAAACTGTCCCTATTCTCTCGCTCGTTCTCCATTGTTCCCCGGTTTCCTTCCGTAGTAAAAAAAAACCCCACACAATGAAACTGGTGTTTGCGAAACATCCCAATGTTGAAATATTACCTGAAAATTACAAACTTGGGATTACACGTGGCAATATCACCCCGTACTGTGAGAACTGGCAGCACCCTCCTGAAGAAAAGTTGTGAGACTCAGCGAGGCTTTCCTGGTGCAAACAAGCGTGGTTATAATAATAGTAGTAAAATAAATCTCTCGTGATGTCACAATCCGCCTCGCTACTTTGCGGAGTGACACATGCCACAATCCATTCAGGCTCCGGTGCTCAGAGTTGCGACGTGAGGCGGTCGTGTTTATTGCCCCATTTTGTGTGGTCCAGCAGAGAATGTTAACTCATCGGAGGATTAGCCTGGCCATGGGATTGTGGTCATTCCTTCTCATCCCAAGTGGTTCTAAGATCTGTTATGGTACACTGACAGGGCCATCAATGTGGGTGGCGATTGCGTTTGCAGCCTCTCCCATTTTATCAACACATACCCTTTCCGATTGGTGTTTTGCGTTACACAGATTCAGGTAATTTCCTGCTCATATGATCATCGAGGCGGTGCTCATTTCCCATTTACAACCCTGAGCCAGTGGTGGAAATTCCACATTCCTATGACGGGGCTGAGTTTTTACACCGGATAAGCACTGTTCACTTCTCCCACACAAAGTGGTATTTATTCTATCGACCAATCCCCCTCAACCAGGATTTTAACTCGCATCCTTCTGATTGTGAGCCGCTGGCTGTCCTGCTGAGCCACCTGGCCGGATTGCATAGGAGCACTTAATAATAAACATTATCTTTGTCTATAAGGGAATCCCGTTTGTTGAGCGTAATTTGAAGGCAGAAGGGAATACTGCTGCTGCTGCTGCGTCTGCTGCTCAGCACTACCTTTGGACAGAAGCTACGCTTGCCTCGCTGATGAGGGCCCCTGTGTACCATAAGAAGATCTGGGGGTGGCAGCTTGAGGGGAGGCTGCGGAGGGAGCGGTTGGCAGGTGACGGCCCGCGGGACGCGCGTGGCACGGCTCGCTCTGGCAGCCGCCGTGGACGCGCGCCAGTGAAACGGCGCTGGCGGCTACGGCAGGAGGGGTGTTGGTGCCGATAAAAACCGCTCGGGGCAGGAGTGCTGCCGCTGACAGCTGAAGGTTATGGGAGGAGAAGAGATAGCGGCGGGCTGCAGGTGGCCTAGGGGACCTGCTGGTGGTAAAGGGCAGAGAAACACTGAATAGCTCGGGGCTAACCTTGAGTGCCATGAATCATTGATGCGCATCTTCTCATTTTCTCGGCTTGTGTTATTCCCAGATTTACACCGAGACCCTCCCACCTTCAACCTTTTACCCAAATACCCTCTTCACGTGACGACACACACACGATTGCTCCTAGTAGTGTGCATGTGTGCGGGTGTCCTTGTTTGTAGCGTAGCGAGAGGTGGTGCAGTAATTAATGCATTACGCTATGAACCCGATGACCTGGGTTCGATTCCAGCATCAGTGATAAATATCTGCAATGGCCCTGGACTTCTCCTAGGTCTGCTCAGCCTGACCCTGGCACCTGTATATTTGGAGCTTCCATGTTCTCCCCGTGGTCACGTGGATTTTCCTCTGGATCCTCTGGTTTTTCCCTCCACATTTAGAATCAACATCACACGCTTAGAGTATTTGGCTCTTGCAATTACATTAAAACGTGATGAGCCACTTCGTTGAGCTATCATTTTTGACCAGGTCGCTTCTGAAGAAGAGCTATACAGCTCAGTGGGCCTCGGTTTTTGTTTAAGTACTTTGTGCGGTTTGTAAACATCAACATTTATTAGATAAAGAGTGTGGTGCCGGTCACCTGGCCCTTCGTGTGCTGTGTTGGCCTTCATAGGTGCTCCTCGCTCGCATCGCTGAGCCCCCAAAGCCTGCGTGTCTTTGTCCTTGCACTTGGCTTGCGTCTTTCTGGGAAACTTGGTGCTGGTGGCCGTAATCCAATGGTGGGAAATTCCTCATTCGTAGAACAACTAATGTTAACGTCTCCCTCCACACACAGCGGTGCCTATTTTATTGGCCCCGAAGAGATGATGGGCTGAGTCACAACCCCCCGACAGGAATTTGAACTCGCGACTTTCTGATTGGGAGCCGCTCACTCTACCACTGAGCCACGTGGCCACATGTTGGTTTGTCGCGGTGGCAACTGTCAACGTCACACCAGCGTTGGGAGCAGGCCTTCGGTATTACTTTCATATTGCTTTGCTTGGCAATAAAAGTACATTTTACCTATTGGCAGTGTTTTACAATGTTGGAATTTGGCCCATAAATATGCAAAATTTAATTTAAACTTTTGCTGGAGACAATTACGCTGTGTTTATGATTTAGGTGTTTAAATACAATATTTCCAAAAGTTTATGAAACGCAATATGAAGGTTACTTAGTCTACAAAATTGTCGATATGTTGGCAATATTCCA